ACGAGCGTTGGCGGGGTGTTGTTTTGGGGCGGTGTTTGGTACAAAAGATCCTGAGAATATTACTGTGAACTAGGTATTATACGATGCATGAAGCAAATCCCAACCGTCATTTGCATTCTGCATCGTTGAGATCATGCGTCAGAAGCGTGATCGGCTAGTAACGACAACCTGGAGTAATTAAAGTAATCAGTTAAAAACAATTGATTACTAACAATCAGTTAGCTTTTTTCGTCAAATATTTTTGCGCGGGAAGCCACAAGCGACATCGCGTTTAGTCAGTCACAAATGTTCGTGGTAAAATGAGGTTTGATTTTGTGTATGATGTATGGATAGGCTGACTGTGGGTTATGACAGTGAGTTCGAAACAATATTCAGGTGAGCTAAATGTTCTTTATACCTATTGTTTTCATTGATATTATATTTCTTTCATTTTACTATTGTATAAGTGGTAAATTAGAGGTTTTCGGGCATATACGAATTGGGATTATTAACCAAATACAGAAGTCTAGATTGATGGATGATTCTCTTTTGTATCGAACTCACTAACAGCGGGTTCCGTCGTTTCCTCACAAATAGGCCGTAAAAAGAAACTTAAACGTAATACACTGATCTACGTGACTACGTAAGCTGCATTCAACATGGTACGCTTTACATGAATGTAATGCATAACTTTCAAATCTTTCGCAAATGTAGCGCAAAATCCATGGTTTAATAGAGATTCGCCGTAGCCTTTCAACTTTAATATATTACTGTGTATAGATTGGATCTTTGTACAAAGACCCTACTAACGTTCAAAATAAGAGAATTCGTAATTATCCAGTTTAAGTTAGAAAGGCAGATTGCGCTGAAACTTCAAATTTTTAAATCATTCCTAACCCCAAATGGATAATAACTAATATGTCATTTTAAAACGTGGCGGGAGCTTTGTGCAAAAGATCCGATAGATTCAGTCCAACTGTCCATCGAGTATGCTAGCTACAGTTCTGCGATAGTTTATTTATCAATATCTTAACTTTTTTTCAGGTGCAGAAATATTAAAGGTTAAAGATTCAAAGACACAAAGTAACGGACGGGTAATATTACAAGTAAATATTATTTGAACATTTTATTTGACTTTCGACGCCTATTGATTCCTGTATACCACTGTTTTCGTCTAAAACTCACGTATATTTTTGAAGAAAATATTCAGAAAAGAGTCTTACTTTAAGAATACAAACTGAGGTACAATATGATACACTAACCTATCATTTTAAATAACTATCATTTTAACATAAGCATAGCTTTGCAGTGTCTCTGTCAAATAACATTTGTGTGAATTAACTACCTGGAAATGCCATAGTATGCTCAACAAAATTTATTTTAATTCAAATTTAGAATTGGCTTAAACAAAATCACGACATATATATTAATTTTCAGCATTTTAAAACAGGACAATTTATCATTGCACCAAAAGAAATTTGTCAAGTGTCAGGTTTTCATCATTGAGTGAGATGGAGGCCCATCAAGTCTGAAGAGCAAGTATGTAACCAAATCATTTGAAATCTTTCAATTTACATGTCTATAAATAAATGATATATTGTATTTTTTCGGAAAATCTACAGACAAATTATTCCTTTTAATATATTGAGTATAAGCTTAGTTTTGTTTCGTCTGTCAAATGAAATTTTCTATAAATTACAACCTCAAAATTTCATAACAACATGATTCGCACAACTACCGTTTTATTCTGGCTATTGAGTCGGCCCAGTGAATAAGGCGGGGGTCATTTTTTAGAAATAAAATTGGGCTTTTTTTCGTTCCCACCCAATAGCCGAGACACAATATTGCATTACATTATATATGTAGTATATTATATATGTAGTATATAGTATAATGGCCGTTTATGTCACACAATATTCAGTCCATGACAACGACAAGAATTTAAAATGTCTTTCTATTTTAATTTAATTGTGTTCATGGTAACTCGCGGTTGCGTCGACTTACAACAAGATGAAAGCATTACTTTTTTAAAATGCCACGGCAATCGGCGAACATAATAATGTGAGAATATATTTCCCGATTATATTTAATTTTGATACATATTTTTTGCGATCTTGCGAATTTGTTATCGCCGTTAGGAAAATCCTACTTTCTGCTATAAAGTTCCAGAAAGTACAACTTGATTTAGTACTTATTAAAAAGATATTCAAAGTTTATTAGTAAATCAAAAATACATATTCATCGTCTTGCTTTACTATTAAATTAATTGTGATGATTTTAATCTGCAATTGTGTTGACGAAATAAAAGCAATATTACTCAGAAAATATCAAAGTGGTTAAGTGTCCGATTATATATTTTTTTGATTCGTATTTTTGTGAATTCGCCAAATAAGAGCTGTTCGTACAATAGCGCTCCAGTACTGTACGTACCAATGTAGGGCAAAGAATCGTAAGGAAGAATGCCCTGGTACGTACGTATAATACGGTAGCACCCGAAATTTTGCGATATGTAATGTCTAAAAAAGCGTTATTAATCGGTCTCGGACGATCATAAAACAAAACTTATGGTGCTATCCGTTTTATTTTTAGTATTTTGTATTACCACTTTTCAATTTAAAAAATTTAAATTGCCACCACATTGACACCTACCAGAAATAAAATATTTTTCGTTGTTCGAACTCGGAAATTCGTAAGTGAGTTGTGAAATCCAATCGTTTGATTAAGCGACGCGTCACCTGTTACCAAATTTTCGAATAGTAAATTGCTATTCTAATAGTTGAAATTG